GCCTTCATATGGATTACACCTCAACATAAAGAAAAAAATCCTCACAACTGGACCAATAAGCAGCAGCATGATAAACGGAGAAAAGTTTAAAGTTGTCAACAATTTCATTTTACTAGGATCCACAATTAATGGCCATAGAAGCAGCAGTCAAGAAATCAAAAGACATATTACATTGGGTAAATCTGCTGCAAAAGAACAATTTAAAGTGTTAAAAAGCCAAGATATCACTTTGAGACTAAGGTGTGCCTAACCCAAGCCATCATATTTTCAGCTGCCTCATATGCATGAGCAGGCTGGACAATGAATAAGGAAGATTGAAGAACTGATGCCTTTGAATTATGGTGTTGGCAAAGAACACTGAATACACACACAATGGATTGCCAAAAAACCAACAAATCTGTCTTGGAAGATGTGCAGCCAGAATGCTCCTTAGAAGAGAGGACAGCAAGACTTGGTTTCATGTACTTTGGACATGCTATTAGGAGAGACCAGTCTCTCAAGAGGCAATCATACTGGTAAAACAGAGGGTCTGCGAAAAAGAGGAAGAGCCTCAACAAGATGGACTGACACAGTGGCTACAACAATGGGCTCAAACATAGCAATGACTGTGAGGATGACACAGGACTGGGCAGTGTTTCGTTTTGTTGTACACAGGATCGCTACGAGTAGGAACCAACTTGATGGCACCTAACAATAACTTAACAAAACTCAGTAATTTTATTATTTTCTTTTAGTGAAATCATTTCCTTCTGAACATCAAGAAAAGTGGAAACAAAAGAGTCAATTTCTCATCACTGTGCCCTGGGAATTACAAAGCTGTTACTCCAATTAGTCCTAATGGGTATTGGCACTCAAGTCCCAACATACCAAGATGAAAATAAATTCTATAAGCCTGCAGTTTAGAAAGACTAGATGAAATAAATAAGAGTATACTAGAATCCAAAATATTGAGTGAATGGACTTTATTGATTTTTTTGCTTTTATTATCACCCTTACTGTCCTCTATCATAATTTTTTCTTTCCTTTTTTAATTTCCCCTTACTTTATTCCATCAAACACCTATTCACTCAAACTCTCTGAGAGGAACTTAATCTCTCCCTCAAACTTGATAACGAAATACAGATGTGTACAAAGTATGCAAAGTTAGGGTCCTGAGGTAATCAAGGGAAGTAAAAAAAAAAAAAAAAACAAAAAAAAACAGCCAGGCGCCTCTCTCTTCATGTTCTAGGTCACATATACTTGAGGGTTGCCATTAAATGGTAAGTAATGTATGAAATGTATCACTGTACATTTGACTTAATAAAGCTATCGCTAAAAAATTTAACTTCCTCAGTTCCTGTAACGCAGGATCTAATACGAGCTTTCTGGTAACTGAGTTTATTTCTAGAAGCTCTAGTAGGCCTAGAATTTCAAAATCAATTTTAAAGATATCAGTTTTATTTTTTTAATCTCAGAATGTAAATGAGGAGGACTATTTTTTATCTGTGTCTCTTTCCAA